GGCACAGGAGGGGAGACCCTCTATGAGATGGATTGATTCGGTGACTGGGGTAATCGGGATGGGTGTGTCGGAGGCAGTGCGGTTGGCACAGGACAGAGCAGGGTTTAGGGCTGTTGTGCATAGGGTCGCTAGGAGTCGCAAACAACTCGACGGCACATAAGAACAACATCATCATCATTGCCAAACATTTTTCTCAGTCTGTGGGTTTCCTTCTTGCCCTGTTGAAGATATTTTTTTATGAGCATAGGGATTTGACTGTTACAAGGTCCCATTCGTCTATTTTATTCTCTTCTGGTTGTTAAGTTTTTCAATATGCTTAGAAGACTGTTCTTGCGGATTAGTGCTTCTAGGGTTCTTCCTAGCTTTTCTCTGATTAATTTTATAGTCTTTAGTTTTATTTCTAGGTCCCTCATCCACCTTGAGTTGGTTTTTTTATAAGGTGTGAGGTGTGGGTCTTGCTTGACTTTTCTGCACACTGTTTTCCAATTGTGCCAACCTCATTTGTTAAAGAGATTGTCCTTTCTCCACTTAACTGATTCCATCTCCTTGTTAAAGATCAGTTGACCATGGGTAGATGAACTGATTTCAGGGTTCTTAAATTCTATTCCATTGATCTATGTATATGTCTGTTTCTGTGTTAATACTATGCTGCCTTGACCACCATGCCTGTGTAGCAGGATTTGAGATCATGGAGTGTGATGCTGCTTACCGCGTTTCTCTTTTTCAGCAGTAATGTTTTGCTTACTCAGTGTCTCTTTCCACTCCAAATAAAGTTGAAAGCTGCATTTTCCATCTCGTTGAAGAAGAGAATTAGTATCTGTGTTGGGATTGCACTGAATTTGTAGATTGCCTCTGGCAGAATTGTCATCTCCATGATATTAAGTTTTCCTATCCATGAGCATTTTTCTATTTCTTCAAATCTCTTTTTTGTTTTTTTTTGTACTAATAATGCTTTGTAGTTTTCTGTGTAGGGTTTTTTTATGCCACTAGTTATTCCCAAGTATTTCATCTTGTGGTTAGCAACTTTTTTCCTTAGCTCCACTTTGTATTCGCCTTGTTACTGTAGAGAAATCCAACTGATTTTCGTATATGTTGATTTTATATTCTGCTACTTTGCTGAATTAGTCAACTGTGTCCAACAGTTCCCTCACTAAATCTTTAGGATTTTCTAAATATGCTATCATATCATCTACATATATTTTTACCCCCTTTGCTGATTTGTATACCTCTTATTTTCTTGTTTTATTGCTCTCAGTAATACTTCCAGTAGTATACTGAATAGGAGAGGTGATAGTGGGCACCCTTGCCTAGTTCTCTTCTCAAGGAAAATACCTTTAATCTCGCTCCATTTAGAATGACACTGAGTCTTGGTTTTGCATATGTACTTTTCACTATTTGTGGGAAATTCCCTATTCCTATTCTGTTGAGTGTTTTAATCAGGAAGGATTGTTGGATTTTGTCAAAGGCTTTTTCTGTGTCAATTGATGGGATCGTGCGGTTCTTATTCTTTGCTTTGTTAAGGTGATGAGTTACATTAATTGTTTTTCTTATGCTGAACCATCTTTGGCAATTTCTTAAGCATACCTTAATCAAATGACTTGATACCATCTGCCTGTCAGAAAGGATTTCAAAGTATTAACAAGCTCATTTAAAAGCAGCAAACAAAATGAAAATACACATATCCTACTCTTCCTTCATCACACATGGTTCCAAAGAAATTACCAAGCACTTTTCATTAGTAATGATTTAAATACATACCATTCTGCTTTTTCTTTTTCTTCTTCATCTAAATAAGAAAATTCTCTCCAAGAATCAAAATTATACCTAATACAAAGAGAAATAAAAAAGAGCCAAGCTAAGTGAAGGGAAAAAATTCCTATTAAAAATTAAGCTTGCTGATTCTGGAGTAATTTGCAGAGAGTTGCACTTCTCTCTCAAATTTTATTATTTAGTGTGTGGGTACCGTCAAATCAGATCTGATTGGAACAGGAGGAGAGTGCCCCTCCTTCCCCAGCAGAGCATCTGGTGGATTCGAACTGTGCGCCTCTGGGATTGCAGTGCAGCTTCTTGCCACTAGGCCTCCAAAGCTCCCTGTGATTTACAGCTTTTGAAAACCTGCTCAAGGGTCAGCGATGGGCTGGTTCTGACTTCAACGAAATGAGGTTGAATTTTTTAAAATAGCAAGTGGATGCATCTGTTTAATGTATCCTTTTTTGCTCATCTTTTTTTGGTACAGTGTGAACAAAATGCTTCCTTTAAGAACATTTCCAAAGTGAGTTTATAAAGGCATAAATATGGAAAACATATCCACGCCCACAAATCAAAATCACACCTTCCTGCTTTCTCTTTTTCTAAGGCCTTCCCTTAATTGGACTTATTTAAAAGTTTTCCCTGCATTTACTTTCACTAGTCTGTCCAGTTTTAAGGGAACACTGAACACATGTGGATTCTGAATCTTGGTGACCCCATGTACAATGGAGCAGAGCCAGGCTCCATATGGTTTCCAATGGATAACTGTCATTAAGTAGATTGCCAGAAAAAAAAAAAA